AAACCTACAAAAATAACACTCAAGTGAGTTTCTATATATATATATATACAACAATGTTCGATATATATATGTACTTCAACTGTTCGGCGTACAGTAAAACATATATATATATATATATATATATATATATATATATATATATATATATATATATATATATCGAGCTATATTCATACCGAAAAATTATATATATCGAGCTATATTCGTACCGAAAAATTATATATATATCCTTTATGAGAGTTTCAAGTTCCTTTAGAACCATATATATATATATATATATATATATATATATATCGAGCTATATTCATACCGAAAAATTATATATATCGAGCTATATTCGTACTGTTCGGCGTACAGTAAAACATATATATATATATTTATATATATATATATATATATTCATATATATATCGAGCTATATTCATACCGAAAAATTATATATATCGAGCTATATTCGTACCGAAAAATTATATATATATCCTTTATGAGAGTTTCAAGTTCCTTTAGAACCATATATATATATATATATATATATATATATCGAGCTATATTCATACCGAAAAATTATATATATCGAGCTATATTCGTACCGAAAAATTATATATATATCCTTTATGAGAGTTTCAAGTTCCTTTAGAACCATAACCAAATCCGTAAAAATCAAAAGACCTCGAATATATTGTCCGTTAGAAAATTTACCGACTGTTATCAGTGTCCGAAGGCTAATAATGACGTATGGGAAAGGTAGTGGACTTGCATTAGAGCTGAAGAAAGTTATTTGCCACCAGAAGTGGATCAATGCCTGGTTGTACCTTGAGTACAGTGGTTTTGGCTGGTACATAGTGAAAGACATTTATTGGAAGTGATGTGATGTTTGTGGCATGCTATCATCTACGTAGAAGATACTACCATCTGCGTAGAAAATACTATCATCTACGTAGAAGATACTTTCATCTACGTATATGATAGTATCTTCTACGTAGATGATAGTATGCCATCTAGATACTATCGTCCACTTACATACTTTCATCTACGTACATGATACTGTCATCTAGTGTATGTAGAAGTGCAGTCATATAAGTGATACCAATGACAGAGAGCTCACATTTGCTGTCATTACATACACACCTACATGCGCGCGCGCACGCACGCACGCACGCACACACACACACACACACACACACACACACACACACACACACACACACACACACACACATACATACATACATACATACATATAGTGTTTGTGGGGAGGTGTTTTTGTATGGGTATGTCGTGTGTGCAACACGTGATGGGGTCTGTATCTGTGTGTGTGTGTGTGTTTGTGTGTGTGCGCGCGCGCGTGTATGTGCGAATGTATGTGTGTATGTGCGCACACACACACACACACACACACACACACACACACACACACACACACACACACACACACACACACACACATACATACATACATACATACATACATACATACATACATATAGTGTTTGTGGGGAGGTGTTTTTGTATGGGTATGTCGTGTGTGCAACACGTGATGGGGTCTGTATCTGTGTGTGTGTGTGTGTTTGTGTGTGTGCGCGCGCGCGTGTATGTGCGAATGTATGTGTGTATGTGCGTGCGTGCGTGCGTGTGTGTGTGTGTGTGTGTGTGTGTTTGTGTATGTTTGTGTGTGTGTCTATGCTGATGAGGCCCAAGTATCGCAGCAACAGTATGATTTGGTTTCTTAGATAGTAACTAGTCTTTTTATAAGAATTTTAACAAAGTATGTTGTAATTTCATTACAGTGCTTGTTGTTTGTTGGAATTACTTTAATCCTCTTAAACCCCCAGAGAAGATTATCCTCTGAGCTAATTTTTGTCCGTATATATGTCACAAATTAGTGATAACTTATGAAAAACGTAATTATCTGTTTCGAAAATTATGTACCGTATTATACATGAGGTACCTAATTTGGTATTAAGATTGCTTGGCGCAATCCACCAACGATTGCCGAGTTTAATGATCTTAGAATACTCTTCGTATAAGGTCAAAGAGAATATTTACGTTAGTGACAAAACCCTTTTCATTATAGTTTTCATCCTTTCAATTTTGATCAAAACAGATATATTTCAGCAATAATTGATTGCAACAAATTTATTATACATTCTGATGCTCTTTGAAACTCAACAAGACATGCCCGAAGATAACGGATATTATTTGTGTAAGCTTTGAATTATGATTTCGTGCCGTTAATATGATGGATTCTGTTTTTTGTTGTTGGGGAAAGGAGTTATTATCCCAGCAAAACTTGTCAGTAAGTTGTTGTTAGTTCTTCATGATATATGAAAGGAATCCAGACAGTTACATTTATTCATTTATTTAATTAAATATACTTCTTCCTATGAAAGGAAATATTTTATGTTATATTAATGATCCATATGTTAATCATACACTGCTACAAATATTGCATAAGTTAACATGGTTTGCATTTATTTATTAGTATTTCTTTATCTGTGAGAAGTTCACAGAGATCGAGAGTACACAATACCTAATAGTATATGTAATGTAGGTAAAGAATATCCACGCCCCTCTTTTGATATTAATAAAAAAAACATTGTATATAATGTAATGTATTAAGTTTTCTCCCTTCCCATGCATGCATGGGAAATCTATGCTGCATTTGCTGACGACTAGGTTTTTTTCCTTTGACATTGCACTCATTTGTTGTATTTGAATTCTTCGTCAAAATATAATGTATAAATACGATTGAATTATCTCGTTTGTTTCAAGGAAACGGTCATGTGCAAATTAAGTAAACCTCCAATGCAAATCGACATAATTTCAGGGTCCGGTTGCACAGAGCTCTCTTCGTTAACTCGTAACTCAATGTTATTGCAATGGACTCCTAGCTAAGCTACTATTGGATGATAAATCAATTAACCTATTCGTCGAATAGACGTACCTAATGTAATCCATTATTTTTAACCCGAGGATGGATCTTTCAGTCATAAATTTCGATGTGTACAGTTGCTAGAGTATCATTCTAACAATACAGACATGACACAAGCTGCACGTAAAATAATTGATAAAGGTAGTTCTTGCGGGTTCACATACCTACATGTACATCGCCCAGGACATTGTCATTACTTGCTTTACATCCTCCGAGCAACGTTAAAAAATTGAAACTTGAATAATAATAAATTGATATTATGTATATGAACATGTATAAATCAGCTTGCATACAGACTACTGCAGAATGACATGTCATCCATTTCCTAGTTTAGTTTAGTTTAAACCTATTTTATTAACAGAACAAAATGAGAATTGTATTGGGGACAAGTTCTTGCAACTTAGTAAACCCCTCTCCGCATAAAATATGTACAAATATACAGTTGCAAAATAAATATATTTGCTTCAGTCAGTAAAAGTCAGACTTTCCGCATTTACACATCAATATATTTGTGTAAGTTTGTTACGTTATAATTATTCCATTGTGTATATCACTACCTACTTTACCAGTTGAAATGTGATTCCATTAGGTTAAATATGAACAATTATGATGAAAATCGTCAATAGGATATATTACAATTAAGTACAAAACACACAGTATTTCTCAAATAAATAAGAAAACTAAGTTCATTCTAGTAATATTAATCCTCTTCTGGACAACCATAGAAATGAAATTCCAATGCGTTTATATATACAGGTACATATAATTATACAACAATGTACGATAACGACTTCAATCCTCCCCCACACCCATACTTTAATGACGATTGTACGATAAACCCTGTACCAACACTGACAAGGAAAGGGTCTAGTCATTTAACGCCTTTGACACTAAACTTATAAGGTTATTACAATTTACGTAAAAAGTTATTACATTTTACCGCAAGTTGAGATTATTACAATTTACGTCAATTTTTATTACAATTTGCGTTTTACAATTTACGTCAAATTGTATTACAATTTACGTTGTTATTACAATTTACGTCAAAATTATTACAATTTGCTGCAAGTATTACAATTTACCTTTTCATTACAATTTACGTCATAACAGAGCCCAAGCGACGCAAATCTGCAAAGCGAATTGAGGCGCCTTAGACGACTGGGCCACCCGTGCCCCGCTATATTTATGCTTACATTGCAATAATTGGGACAGTATGGTGTTATTTTACTTTCCCGAGTTTTAGTTTCAGTTCACTTTGAAAAACAACTCGCTTATATACCACCCCTACGCAATACACCACGATTATCAACCCAATAGACGCATGCCTACAAAACCTAACATATTTACAAACACTGACCAAACACTCCATACTCTGATGCCGTTTGACCCATGGGAATTATTTTGAATGAAACCAGCGTTCATATTTATCCCAACAGGAAATTGTGTCAAATGCATTGCAAGTCACAAATTCACACATTGAAACATCCGACAGGATATAAGAACACCCGGAATTATTTCATAAATGTTTTTTATACTCTCTGTACAATAATAAACGGAACAACGTCACATCCGTGACAATGAAACTGTCGGTATCAGGGTCATTGTTTTTAAGTGCTATCATGCGACCAAAAATTCCCCATTCCTTCTTGGCCTAGTGTAGTTATGAAACAGTTCATCAGAGCCCCAATTGGCTGGTGTGACGTGGTGGTTTTCCCGCGGCGTTATTGAAGAAATCACGTTCGGTGGAAACTGATATAAACTTGGTATACCCTAACTTAATGATGACAATCATCATAACATTCACTAGGATAACAGCACTCGGAATCATCGACACCAGTTCCAGAATTGTCCTAACAGTAGCAAGGAGTAGAATTGACACGGACTGTTGGTCACCTGCAAATTCACGTAATTATGATTATAATATTATTTAAGTCACATCTGTCTAAAAAAACATTTATCTGAGGCAACTTAATTACTTTAAACATCTACGAAGGGTTTGTCCGTTGTTTTTTCAGTATTGGTTGTATTTTAATCAATAACACTAATGAAAGTTTGTTTGTGTTGCTAGGTGACACGATGAGCGAAACGTCGACTCGGGACAGTACGTCTAGTGTCTCGGACACGATTGGGGCCGTTTCAACGCCAGACAACGTCAGCCTCTCTTCATACGGCAGCAGCGGCCACATGTCTAGCGACATCAGCAACACCACCAGTCCTGCTGGGGAGACCGACACGACGTTACTTTCCGACAATGAAGGATTCGGCACTCTCCGGAACATGTCACACACCGATGTGAGCCCGAACGTCCAGGACGTGAAGAAACTGCTGACCTGTTCTGCTTGTAATGACACCTTTGATGAACCGAAGCTGTTGGTTTGTCTTCATACCTTCTGTGAAAAGTGTATCCAGACCTACAGAGAAGTCGACACAGACTACGTCATCTGTGGCTACTGTCGCACATGCCAACCAAAACCTCGAGACGGGTCGAAAGGTTTGACGCCAAGCTACACTCACGAGGACCTGCTTGAGATCATGAAACGATCGGAGAGCCAACCGCCTATGTGCCAAGCGTGCGAGAAGAATGACGACCCACAGTTCCTCTGCACGACTTGCAACGTGGTAATCTGCAAGCCCTGTCAAGTAGCACATGCAAATTTAAAAATCACTAAGAAGCATACCGTGTTGCCGCTAAGCCTGGCCAATGAAACACCATTGTCCATCTATGCCGGAAAGAGACAGGTGATTTGTAAAGAACATGATGAGGCCATAGCGTACCGCTGCGTTCCCTGTGGTCTGTTTCTGTGTCATACCGATTTAACGAAGTATCACCCAGATCACGAGATCGAAACAGTGGCAGAAGTGAGGCACAGAATGAAAAGGAACGCTGCTGAATTGGAGCGGAAGGTGAAACAGAGTATATTGTCTTCCAAGTCGGCGGAAACCTTAGCGCGATGTCGAAAAGAAAGATTGAACGAGAAATTCGAAGCGATGGAGTACAGAATTGACACAGTTGTCAACGAAACCGAACGATGTATGCGTCAAGCGGCAACGTCGATGAAGGCGCAGTTGAGACAACAAAAAGGACGGGAAGAGGAGAAGATTCAGGAAGTGATGGGGGAGACTGAGGAAAGACTCCAGTCTTCTCAACATCTCCGTCGAATGCTGCTGTCGGTAACCAAGGAGTCCAATGATCTTGACGCCCTCACCTTCCTGTCGTACTGTGAACAGAGTTATGAAGACTTCCGGCAGAGAGGCACCGGACAAAAGACTTTTGACTCCGATATAGTTTTCTTGACATCATCACGGCTTAGTCAAATACTCACCTCCTCAAATATCGGCGAGGTTCGAGAGATAGGGAACTATCCAGCCTTTAAGACGCCACAGGTTTTCAGCACCTTCGATGTTCTGGAAAATGTGTCGGGGATGGCAGCGAATGTGTACGGAGAGGTGGTGTGCACGTCCTATCACGAAGGAAAATGTGTGATGTACGACAAGACCGGAAAGCCTATCCGTGACCTCAGCGCACAGGTGGTTAGACCTTGGGACGTCGCGTTCACAGACGACAACACATTCGTCATCACCGACTGTGGCGACAACATCGGCCACGGTTCGGTCAAGTTGTTCAGTCCGGCAGGAACTCTGATAAAGGTGATCGCAGCTAACGTCAAATCGCCAGCAGGGGTGACCATTGACCGTTCTGGCCGCTTGTACGTGTGTGATGAACACGAGACATGTGTCAAGATCCTGTCCATGGAAGGCAACATCATTGGTCAACTAAAGTCTTGGAACGACAACTACCTCTTCCAAGGCCCCATCTTCGTCGCCACCAACGTCAACAACGACGTGATTGTATGCGATGACCATCGGACCATCAAGATCCTGTCGTCCGTTGGTGAAGTGAAGGAGGACTATGAAGTGGATGGTCGACACGATCTGCAGGCGATATGCACGGACGACAGTGGTCAAATTCTTGTAGTGGACAATATGATGAACGGACTTCATGTTTTGACTGCTGGGGGCCGGTTGAGAAGGTTTGTCTCCTTCGCGGACATCCCGGGACTGGAAAACGCCCGCTGTGTGTGCATAGATCCCTCGGGGCGTGTCGTCATTGGGGGAAGATCGAAACTAGTTGTGCTGGATATATTTGAAGCATGCTAACGGTACCAGTGGTGAAACATGATAATGTCTCTGCTGTCAAAGTGACTACTGAACTTTCAGGAAGCGTACGGGAATGGTTACTTGAAATATCAACAAACTCGTCCAACACGACCCTCCACAAAGCGTACCTACAAAGCCCTACCACTGTCGTTAGTCTATGTACGGGAGTTCAAATGACCTTCAGTCGAAAGAATGTAAAATCTTATTAAATATTGAGTGTCATTTGACCAGTTCTGTATGCAACCACCAAATAACACTCTAGATTTATTTCAATCTAAATGACAGTGACTGTGGAGACTTTTGCGCTCTTGACTATTGACGTCATATCATTTGACGTGGTAAACCATGCATACTTTTACAGTGGACTTGACAGCATATGACGAGGTTCCTTTGATTCACAAGGAGCCGACGTGATTCTGATGGGGAGATGCCCTGAATAAGAAGCAGCTTTACATGTAATATTTGTGACTGATCATTACCCAGTGTGTATTTAAGAGTTTTCTTTTGCTGAAAATGACGTGACAGATCTGCCTGACAATAATTACACGTGCATTACCCTGTGATCCGACAGCACCTTCCTCCTACAGGCGCGCGGACTTTGGGCAGAAGGAGTCTAAATGCAAACCTCTTCCCTGTGAAGTAATGTTCTAAGTATTGGCTGCAACCGTCACAAGTCCGAGTTGAACATGAAATATGACCTCTTACAGCTGGTGTCAGTAAAGGTCACAAGATTGGTGATAACGATAGTATATCAAATCAAAGACGTGTTTCATTTATGATTGACTTGTGGAGTACATATCACGGAAAGAATAACTAGGGACTGGTAATTTATGACAGAGGAGGGGAAGGTGAGATTGGCCTAAGGACTGTAGCATAATTTGCTGCTCCCCCCCCCCCCCCTCCCCCCCATTTTATGTTACATGTGTACATGCTCCCCACCCCACCCCCACATGTAGCACTTTTCAATAGCTCCCACTCCATAAAATAAAACGAGCAGTTCCCAATAAATGTACAAATTCAGCCCCCCCCCCCCCCCCCCCCCCTTACCTGTATAGTTGTGATCAATACTGGCCCCCTTCTTTCGCTATCACACTTTCCTCCCCTAATATATGACCATTCCCTTATGAAAGTTGATTACTTTGACCGATTTGTAATGTGTAAAGGTTTTGCTTACATCGCATGTTTACATGTTACTCCGAATATGTTTCACTTTCAAGTCATGTCAGCTGTTTCATGAAACCTGATCTTTTGTTGAAAAAATCTTGTAAAGTATTTCAAATCCCGTTTGTATTTTTTGTATGCCGACGTTTGACTGTAATTGTAATACTACAGGTAAGTTACAAACCTCTTCGGTCGTAAAACGTTAAACATTTACAGCACAGATCAGATCAGGTACTTATCCTGTATTTGATAAAACAATACGACAAAGTTACTTGTAATAGGTGATTCAAGCAAAAACGTGTGCATGCGTGAATGGTCATCGGCCGCAGCCGTTAAACGTTAAACATTTACAGCATGGATGAGTGAGTGAGTGAGTGAGTGAGTATGGTTTTACGCCATTTTTAGCAATATTCCAGCAATATCACGGCGGGGGACACCAGAAATGGGCTACACACATTGTATCCATGTCGGGAATCGAACCCGGGTCTTCGGCGTGACGAGCGAACGCTTTAACCGCTAGGCTACCCGACCGCCCCACAGCACGGATGAGATTACGTACCGATGAAGCCGCCATGATGCATTGAACGTGTCCTTGATTCACGTAGGCATCTTCGCGCTACAACCATCGCAAGTCCAAGTTAAACAATGGGAGTTACGATCATCTTAGCGCGATATTCATCGCTTTGAAAGTAGCTCGGCTGGGGGTATTAAGGCCTTTCCTTGCCTCTTAAGCCAAGTGGAAGCTAAGTGGAAGCCAAGTGGAATCGGTTTCGGCAGATAATCGAGCCTGGTTATTCTCAGGCATTGACGTTTTCTATTCACAATATTATGAAATTAAATTTTGAAAAAACACATGTCGTAAGAGACGATTAGCAGGATCTGAGGGACGGGCTTGCTGACTTGTTTGATGAATGTCATCGTATCTCAGTTGTGTAGATCGATGCTCATGATGTCAATCACTGGATTGTCTGGTCCAGACTCGATTATTACTGACTGCCGTCATACAGCGGGAATATTGCTGAGTGCGGTGTTAAACAATAAACAAGCAAACAAGCAAACAAACATACCACGTCTTAAAAGTTGACCTTGAACCCGGAAGAGGTGATTGTCAGAGATTACCAAATTTTGATCAGCCCTCCCTTTTAAAAATCCTGGATCCGCCATTGCGTATCAAAAGAAACAAGATTCTTCTTCCGTCTTGTTGTTTGCACTGATGAGATGGTCGCTGAATCTGTTCTGTTTGCTGACAATATTATACACAGTAGCATTACCCACTCCTTAAGCCTTTGCTGCTATCTCATGTACTCAATCAAAGACGTATATCAATCAAACGCAATAAGCGTTTTCCCTCTCTTCTCCAAATCAAAGAGATGCACAAGTTTTTCAGTACTTAGTAAACCACGTCTGCCCTTACACATGTTCTCAATTTCAAAATGTTACATGCACTATCAATTTAAAAATAAGCTCCAAATATTATACACACAAATCTCAACCGAGCATGGTAATGTTATGTTAAGTAACCGTTATCAAAGAGATGTAACAGGTTGGTTTGTTGTTTAACGCCGCACTCGGCAATATTCCAGCTATATGACGGCGGTCTGCAAATAATCGAGTCTGGGCCAGACAATCCAGTGATTAATATCATGAGCATCGATCCACGCAATTGGGATCGATGACATGCATGAACCAAGTCAGCGAGCCTGCCCACCCGATCCCGTCAGTCGCCTCTTACGACAAGCATAGTCGCCTTTTACGACAAGCATGGGTTGCTGAAGACCTATTCTACGCCGTAATCTTCACGGGTCAAGAGATGTCACAGAAACATCATCAACCGTTTTTTGTTATGTTTCAACACAATTTACCTATAGTCAGTTTCAATTACTTATTTCTTGACTTACACTTACCGTCAAACAGCTGTAATAACCGCACGCACGCTAACACAGTTACACTGCATAAGGAAGACCCATATACCTAAACCATTATTCTGATTGTCTGGTAGCAATTTCATTTATTATATATAGTACTTATTCAATAAATTCTTCCTCTAAAAACCACGATACCTATACATTTCAATTTCTACTTTCCACGAAAAAAATAAATTTCACAGAACATTTTAAAAATGTAGTTCTTTTGAACGGGTGCATGAGTGAGTGTGTAGGGTTTTACACTGATTTTAGCAGTATTCCAGCTTGGACCAACGTACCAATGATTGGAATCGATCACGGGACTTTGGCGTGAAGAGTGAATGCTTTAAAGACTAGGCCTCCCATGCATCTGTTCCAGGTAGCGGGTGATTGTAAGGGCTCATGGCCCCGGTGACTAGTTCATGTAATACCCAGCAGTCTCGTGTGTACCACATGAAAATCCGGGTTAGAATTGGTCTTCAGCAACCCATGCTTGTGGTAAGAGGCGACTAATGGGATTGGGTGGTCAGGCTAGGTGACTTGGTTGATACAGGTCATCGTATCCCTTTTGTATATATTGCTGCTTATGATGTCAATCACTGGATTGTCTGGTCCAGACTCGATTCTTTACAGACCGCCGTCATATAGCTGGAATATTGCTGAGAGCGGCGTTAAACAATAAACAAACAAACTACACGTCGGAGTTACCCGTGAATCCGGGGTAGAATAGGTCTTCGGCAACCCATGCTTGCTGTAAAAGACGACTATTCTTGTCGTAAGAGGCGACTAAAGGGATCGGGTGGCCAGGCTCGCTAATTTGGTTGGTGAATGTCATCGTATCCCAATAGCGTGGATCGATGATCATGATGTCAATCACTGGATTGTCTGGGCCAGACTCGATTATTTACAGACCGCCGTCATATAGCTGGAATATTGCTGAGAGCGGCGTTAAACAACAAACAAACAAACAAACAAACAAACTACATGTCGGAGCTTATCTGGACAGTTCAAATCTAATATTCACAAAGTTTTATTTATCAACATCTTAACATTATTAACATAGTAGATTATTACCGAGCACAGCAGTATCCAGTACGAGACACCCCAATATCACAAGCACAGTCAACGATGCTCATGATGTCAATCACTGGATTGTCTGGTCCAGACTCAATTATTTACAGACCGCAGTCATATAGCTGGAATATTGCTGAGCGTGGCGATAGACAACAATTAAACAAAGAAACATTACCCACTTGACTGGTGATCCGGGTTAGAATTGGTAATCAGCAACCCATGCTTGTTGTAAGAGGCGACAACGGATCGGGTGGTCAGGCTTGCTTACTTGGTTGATGCATGTCATCGTATCCCAAATGCGTGAATCGATGCTCATGATGTCAATCACCGTATTGTCTGGTCCAGACTCGATAATTTACTGAACGCTATCATAGTGCTAGAATATTGCTGAGTGCGGCGTTAAACAACAAACAAGCAAACAAACAACCAATAAAAACTTGTCTGGTACATGTATTAGCACAGAAACTATTGCATTTTGTGAGTACTTGTGTTAAACCAACTGTTTCTCATCACAAATCAGAGTTTATTTCAACAAATTGTACATTTTGAATCTCAAAGAGTAATAGAAATATGTAATGCAATTCACAAGAACAGCAAATGTTTATAACTGGAGGCTAAAGCTGCAGTTACATGAGCGTGAGTTAATAAGATGCATTCTTCCTAACACCACTAACTAATACTGCAGGGTGAGGCGAGCCAAGCATTGCATTCTCACTTGATATATAGGTTGATGTTAACATATACATGTATCTTGATATACCACATCCATGGATGAATACATTATGTCAATATAGATGTGTGTACACATTCTGAAGTGACTGGGATCTCAGACATATATCTTGATAAACCACATTCATGGATATACACACTAGGTCTATGTTGTGTATGTCAATACAGATGTGTGTACACATTCTGAAGTGACTAGCACCTCCACCCTAGGCCAAGCAGGACTACTGTCTCTCGACCTTGTCTAAACAAACAGATTATAGCTCTGAATATGAATCTTTCTTGGGATAGGGACTTACAAATAACCCACTAAAAACAATAAGGATTATAGGATAACTTTTTTCAACATTACTAAATAGAATTTTTTTAAAAATCTTGATAAAACTTATGCCAGAGCAGGCATATCTAAATATCAAGTACAACGAAACTTATTTCAAACAATTCCACTTCATTTGTGTTTATTCCACAACCATCAATCAACAGATCATAAATATGAGCAGTTCAACAACTTCCTGTGATGATACAAAAATAAAGCTTCCTGATAAGTGTCTAAAAGTGTATTTGTTTAGAAAGTCATGTTACGTCCTTGAGAGCATCTTGTATTTCCGTACTGGTGGGGTAGATGACATAGTCGATGTTTCTGTCTGCCTCCGTAGCCGGGATGTCTGCACAGATCTGCTCCCGGAAGGCAAGGGCAACCGTGACAGGTCTGTGGCCTCTCTCCTCACACTGACGTAGGTAGTTGTCATAGTAACCCTTGCCATGCCCGCAACGAACTCCTTGGGGGGTGAAGGCCACGCCCGGGGTCAAGATGACATCCAAACCACCTGCGAGGGGACAAGGATTCGTATTTGTCAACAAGGGGTGAGTTCTAAGTGGGGAGGTGAGTTGGTTGAGTGGATGGTTGAAGAAGGGGGCATTTGAGTAGGTGGGTGAGCGAGTGAGTGAGTGGGTTGGTATTTGGTTGGTGGAGTGGGTGATTGAGGGAGGGGTATTTGAGTAGGTGGGTGAGTGAGTGAGTGAGTGAGTGAGTGAGTGAGTGAGTGGGTTGGTATTTGGTTGGTGGAGTGGGTGATTGAGGAAGGGGTATTTGGGTGGGTGAGTGAGTGAGTGAGTGAGTGGGTTGGTATTTGGTTGGTGGAGTGGGTGATTGAGGGAGGGGTATTCGAGTAGGTGGGTGGGTGAGTGAGTGAGTGAGTGAGTGAGTGGGTTGGTATTTGGTTGGTGGAGTGGGTGATTGAGGAAGGGGTATTTGGGTGGGTGAGTGAGTGAGTGGGTTGGTATTTGGTTGGAGTGGGTGATTGAGGAAGGGGTATTTGGGTGAGTGAGTGAGTGAGTGGATAGGTTTGTATTTGGTTGGTGGAGTGGGTGATTGAGGAAGGAGTATTTGGGTGGGTGAGTGAGTGAGTGAGTGGATGGGTTGGTATTTGGTTGGAGTGGGTGATTGAGGAAGGGGTATTTGAGTGAGTGAGTGAGTGAGTGAGTGAGTGAGTGAGTGAGTGAGTGAGTGAGTGAGTGAGTGAGTGGATAGGTTTGTATTTGGTTGGTGGAGTGGGTGATTGAGGAAGGGGTATTTGGGTGAGTGAGTGAGTGAGTGAGTGAGTGAGGTGAGTGAGTGAGTGGACGGGTTGGTATTTGGTTGGTGGAGTGGGTGATTGAGGAAGGGGTATTTGGCTGGGTGAATGATTGAATGAGTGAGTGGGTTGGTATTTGGTTGGTTCAGATGGTGATTGAGAAAGGGGACTTTTGGGAGAGTGAGTGAATAATTGAGAGAGTGAGGAAGTGAGCAGTGAGGAAGTGATTGAGGAAGTGACTGGGAGAGAGAGTGAGTGAGTATGTGAGACAGTGTTCGAATGAGGACGTGAATGAATTAATTGGTTGCTGGGGATATTGGGTTAATGGTTGGTTGAGTTGAGTTGAAGGTTGGTTGAGTAGAGTTCATTGTTAGTTTATAGGGTTAAGTTAGAATATTTGGGGATGTATGAGTAGGTGAGTAACTGGGTGAATGCTTCTTGGGATACCAGGTCGAATAGGTTTCCAGTTACCTGTGCTTGTCGGGCGGTTACAACGTGTGATACATCTGATTGTGTATCCCGGCCTCCAGATGTCAGGTACATTGCCAAAACTACAAACCACTGGTTTGCCTCATGAGAAGCAATCTATCAAAAGTCGCCTTGATAAAGCAGGAATATTACATAGATCATTCTACCATGAATTTGGAATTTACTCGATTCTGATTGGTCAATCAGAGGCTTTTAAATCACAATAAACCCCCTCTGATTGAAACAGCTGGTTTGACGGCCGCATCACCGCGGAAGCTAAAATTGATAGAATAGTACTATTTTCAGTCATTGTCGGTAGGCACATTTAAATAATTATATCTACAATTACAGGTTACAAAATGCACAGATGCGGTTACTACAATATTCAAAGGATGTGTGGCAATACATTTCGTGCAGAAAAATACGACAGAAATCTACAAAGGGAATGTATTTACGTTTTGGAGACAACAGAGAGCTTGGAATTTTGGCGCTTTTCTATATACGACTGTGACGTCATATCTTTTGCATCACAATGAGCGATATGACGTCATAATGGTGACGTGCGATGTAGAGCAAAAGCCTTGCAAAGCTTGCTTTGTTTTCTTTAGGGATGCCCACCTCATGTTAGCTTACCAAGTTTGCCGTGATTATATACTTTTAATGCCTGTCATATGTTCGAGCGAAGTATTATGGTGTAAACAAACTGCTTGCGTATATACAGCACCATATTTTGTTCGGTGATTCCGCAATTCAGATCGATAACCCTCTCAAAACACTGAACTCAACCCATGCCGCTTCACTCAGTATATTTGCTAACACCAAAGAGTTCGCGTTTTATTTAGTCATGGTAGAATGGAGATAAACATACTGTGTTTTCAATGTAGAGCTAGGTTACCTGTAGATTTAACCGCGCTAAATTTAACATTTGAAACCTCACGCTGCGCGTTCGGTTCCAAATTCAATTTAGCGGGGTTAAATCTACAGGTAACCTAGCTCTACATTGAAAACACAGTATGTTTATCTCCTAATTATTACCTCACTCACTCCACTATTGCATACACAAACCTACTCCCTACCTGAGTCCAGAGCGTCTTCTCGCACCTCGTCAACGGGGGGTTGTTTAATCTTCCATTTAGTCTCCGGAAGGTCTTGGTAGTCCTGCCATGACGCCAGTCGCACCATGGACATCCCAACACCGTCGTAACGTGGGATGAAGCAAGCCTTGTTAGAGTTGAGGACGTGTTGCACCAGCGCATCTGTACTGACCTCACTCTTCATGCTAAGGTAGACAGACACTCGCCTGCTGGTCTGGAAGACTGGTAGTGCAAGGACCTGTAGGGAGGTCAGGTGGAATGGGGTCAAACTTCTGAAGCACTTCTACAGGGACTTGCATGCACATGTGTGTGGTTGTTCGCACATGTGTGTGTGCGTGCATGCGTGCGGGTGCTTGTACTAGGCCAGACTAACTGGTCTTACAGCCCTAGCCAACTAGGATACCATGCCTCAATTTAACATGGATTCCCCAAACACAGTATATTGACTAGGAGCCCACCAGTCCATATTTTGTACCCCTTATCCTGGGTGCCAGGCAAGGAAACACAGAGTACCATCTTTTAACAGCTTTTTGATACCGGATACCGAACTACCGACCTTCTGCTTTCCAGGCAGATGCTAAATCCACTAGAACAAGGGGGTGGTATCACAAGAGAAGGCATATCATGTACTGAGTTCTAGGCCACTGTTGCCTATAGGACTTGTATTCTATGTTGTATTACAGAGTGAAAATGTGTGAAAATATTCATACTATCATATAATAGAAGATAAAATTTGACATTTTCAACATCCCTTTTTTATGTCAAATGAGACTAAATAAAAACAAAAAATAAATACTGATATAGCCCATATCTGGATTTCTACCAATTTGATGACTAACGGAGATCTATACCCTAACTAGATTATGTATTATATCATATATTCTGAAGTAATCTATTTGAACAGTAGATTACTTCCATAAACTGCCATCTTTATCTTTATGCCATCTTAATGCCAAGTCATTTTCAGTTAATTTTAATGCTAAATTTCTTCTTATTTCATCTCTTTTCTATGATCATGGCTTCAGAAAATAGTTGAAGCACTGGTAAAATCGTCTCAATGGTCAAAGGGAGGTAATTCGTATATCCCCCTGAACATCAAAATCGCACCAGCTGATTGAAGGATCAACACGTAAGCAGAAACACGAATGCGTGTCATGACTAACCTTTTTTATGACAATCTGGGACTGAATAACTTTGAGTCGGTCTGGTACAGCTGACAGTTTTGTCTTCATGTCTTTTCTCAGTAACGCTTTGGCTTGGCGTATCGACACCGCCATCGTGTCCCAGTGCTGAGGGGAGGTAACTCTGTAATCACAGACTTGTTCCCAATACATGATATGACCCAAATTGCCTTCTGACTACTGGTATTGAAAAAAAGCCATCGCTTTGAGGGCTATGCACCACGGATTAAGTATACATGTGGTCATGGGTGTGAAATGAGACACGTGTTTTTGTATGATTAGTGTAATCATATGTAGGTCGATAGCCATCAAATTTGAGTGCTGACAAAGACAAAGTGCTGTTTGAGTGACTTGATACTTGATATGCAGAACTTTTAATATCTATCTTCAGAGGTTCAGGACAATTTGTCAAAAATGAAAGCAAATACCATCGAAAATGTACTGAGAAACAATATGTGAAATGATGGACTTTCTCATTAAACGTTTTGGGGTAAAATATTGTGGCAAGGAGAAAACATCCCCATCTGCTCGGATTGGCAAAAGTCAAAACAAGGTATTTTGGCTAAGATGTTTAACTTAAGCTCAGGTATGTGGATGATCTGGTATCGTTCAATGACCATCACATAGCCAAATCCCTTCCACTGATTTACCCACTGAACTAGAAATAAAGGAGACCAGTGAGGCGGTCTCATTTTTAATGTTCATAAAGATTGACAAGACTCTCCACAAGAAGACACTCCACAAGATGGGTGACTTCAACTTTCCAATAGTCTTTCCCTTTTAATCAATATTCCAGCAGCTCCAACGACTGGTGTCTATACACTTTATACGTTTTGAGGTACAATCGAGCATGTTCTTTCTACAAAGATTTCAAAGAGCGCCATACAACTCTTGCTGAAAATTTGTTTATCAAATTACAACATTCAACGTCTCAGTAAAAACTTTCAAGACATTTTACGGTGGACATGTAGAACATTTCCAAATTTGACGCTTCAGTGACAACAATGACGTCCGATGCAATTCCCTATTTTGACTTGTACCATCTGTTTCCGTGTGTTTCAGGTGTGCAGTTGCGTGCCTATGCATGTGTTTGTGCCGAGTGCCACCGGTGGGGCAGGATGTGCACACCTATTCGCGAACACCTGGTATCTTCACTATTTGATGTAAAAACGTGCTCATGATACAGTCGGAATCGTTCTATCGATATGTGGAAAGTGTTTTGTCGCTTTTATTGAACCACAGGACGTTTCAGCGAAATTCATGCATTTTCAGGGCCCAAGCCAACCGTCGGCCTCAAAGGGCGGGTTGGTCTATGGATATGCATGAATTTCGCTGAAGAGTCTTGTGCTTTAATAAATTTAATTTCGCAGGCTGCCAATCTGCGACAGCGTAACCTTTCTGTCACTTCTGGTATTGCGAGGTGTTGGCAACAACAAACCTACTTGAAACTCCCTTTCAATCATTTTATCGTGTTTACGCTAAACGAGTGTCAGAAGTTATGTAGAACTGTCCAAAGCGAGAGCAGTGTACATTAATTCCTACACGAGTTTGCCAAATCAGTAGATACACATGCGAATGAAATCACGTAATAACATGAACCACTAATTTACGCTTCCAGAACAATATAATCTTTAAAGAGCTCGTGATATGAGATAAAATACAAGCTGAAAGAAATATTTATTTTGTTAACATTCTTGTGATTCCAGGAAAATACATGAATGTTTATATTGTGCATAGTTCGTTTCTGATTTGCATTTTTATAAAACCCAAGTACAAGCTGTGACTTCATTATTAGTGTGACGTCATTAAACAAGACGTCTACAATGCTGTCTGTATTACGTCAACAGTGGTATTTACATAAGGACAGTTCTGTAGTAATTATTACATATGTGCTTCGTACGTATAGTATGTGCATAGGGTAAATTAATCGGACAACGTCGGGTAAGGAATTGTGTGTAAGGGTTAGGGAAGAGGTTACGAGGGGTAGAGGCGAGATTACGAGTGATTAGGGTAGAGATTACGAGAGGTAAGGGGAGAGATTACGAGGGACAGGGAAGATATTACGAGGGGTAGGGGCGGATTACGGGGGGTTAGGGTAGAGATTACGATGGGTTAGGGATGAGATTATGAGGGGTAGGGGCGAGATTATGAGGGGTTAGGGGAGAGATTACAAGGGGTTGGGAAGAGATTACGAGGGGTATGGACGAGATTATGAGGGGTTAGGGGAGAGATTACGAGGGGTTGGGAAGAGATTACGAGGGGTATGGGCGGTCCAGTCGTCTAGCTAAGGCACCGCGATTCGCTGTGCAAAGTTGTTTTTCTCCGAGATATCCCAGAATCCAATGATCGTGGGTTCGAATCCTATATTATCTCGGATTGTGATTGTTTGGTTTGTCAGCACCAATCTTGCACATGCGTTCGTGAGTTTCACTAACGGTACAAATCATCTGAGATCTGAATAACTTCGGGCTTTCCTCCCACATTACGCTGACATGTGATATAACTGAATACTGTTCAAAGCGGCGTTTAGCCTATCTCACTCATTCACACACCCACACACTCACACACTCACTCACTCCCCAGATGATGCGCGTTCCCTTCATATTCTTTATTGAAGAAGGTTTAACGCCCGAACACGTTCAGTTAATGTATTCCGGGCCTTAATCCTAAAAATCCTTGATCCTTTTTCACGAGACAACGAATCATAAACAGGTGATGAATTACTGAAAATGTCATTCATGTGGACTTTTTCAACATAACAAGCAAGTGCATATACTCCATGGTCTTCCAAATATTATTTTCTTCAAAATACTCATTTTTAGGTTTTTGATAATAATTTGCCCGCGGTAAAAAGAGAAAAAACACGAACACGTCATGTACATCGACAAAAACAAGTACACTTGTGATTATTGTACATACAATAATAAGCATTCCTTTGTGTTTATTCCCGTGTGTGTGTGTGTGTGTGTGTGTGTGTGTGTGTGTGTGTGTGTGTGTGTGTGTGTGTGTGTGTAGTGTTAACGAAATAGTAGTGGTTCTGTATTTTGTACAATTTACAGAAAAAACTTTCCGTTCAGCTGGTAGTATATAAAAACAAATTATGTTTCGACGTTTGTTCTCGCAGCAATATTATATTGATATAATTTCGATCTAATTACTTTTCTGGCGAATGTTATTAAATGCATTAACATAAAGGAAATAATATATATTATCAGAACAATGAAAACATTCCAAATAAATTTCAAAGTTCGCGTTTAGAATTAAGGAAAAATATGTCCAGTGTCTTCTGACCTCGTTTCTCGGAAATTTTTAGCTGAAACAAATGTCATACATATTCGCCATAAAAAGTCATTTGTTAAGAAACCAGCGAAGCAGAGAGGCCGCCGTGTTCCTAAAACACTAAATATGCTGGTCATGTCGCCTAACGGTCGTAAATACCGACAGAATAACTGTGTACAACATAAACCACAAAGCACTGCCACAACAAAACAGTCTTTAAAATGCAGTTATTGTTATGACAAAAAAATCAAGCTGAAAGAATTAAGTTACTGGTTTACTCCGAGTTTAGTTTGTTGAAAGATTGAGTTTTGTTGTCTGAGTTTAAGAAAACATTTTCTGTATTTCCTTCCTTAAAGTAATACATTAAAATATTTATGTCGTGCATACTTCGCGTATGGTATTTCTGATTTGCATTTATGTCAAAACAGTGACACTGGAAGATTACATTGTGTCAACGTACTTCAAGTGTGTAAATGCACGAATCTTATGACGAATTTCAATTTACATAAGAATACGCATTGTAACCAAAATTACAAACACATTGCATTCTAAACGAAAACTACGTAATGCGTAATATTCATTTTAACACAATCAATCTTATGGAAATTTGATTACGCGTGTGTCTGTATTTTGTTCGTAAAATTAAATAAAAAACTTGCTGCACACGTCATAGATTATGTGAAACGGTGCAGACATACTAGGCCCCTGTAAACACATCTGAGTTAAAGTTAATAGACGTTGTAGTACTTACCCGGGCATTGGTGCACCTGTTCATGTTCTCTTGTTACGGACATTGTCATCAATTAGCTTTCACACAGTAGCGGCCCGTGAAGATCCGGGGTAGGATGGGTCTTCAGCAACCCATGCTCGCTGTAAAAGGCGACTATGCTTGTCCTAAGAGGCGACTAATGGGATCGGGTGGTCAGGCTCTCTGACTTGGTTGATGCATGTCATATCCCAAATGCGTGGATCGATGCTCATGATGTCAACCACTGGATTGTCTGGCCCAGACTCGATTTTTACAGACCGCCGTCATATAGCTGGAATATTGCCGAGTACGGCGTTAAACAACAAACAAACAAACAAATCACACAGTAGCAGAATTGGTCCCCAGCAACCTATGCCTGTCGTACAAGGAGACTTGAGGGATCGGGTGGCCCAGTCGTCTAAAACACCGACGTTCGCAATACATCCCTTAGGATTAACAGAATCATATGATCGTTAATGATCGCCTTTATTGTGTTTCTAGTTTTGTCAGCACCCGTTCCAGGCAAAGTGGTGTATAAGTTACGTCACTTATGGTCGTGTCAGGATCCGCTGATCTCTGGTTCGAGCCCTAGATTAGTCCCGATCATGATACTTGGTGTCACCGCCGTGATATTGCTTGAATATTGCTTAAAGCGGCGTAAAACCATACTCACTCATTCACCATTGCGATGGCATCACAAAGTTACACGTCAATGACGGCATCACTGTGGGTTTCCTCACATTAAGCTGACAAGTGGTGTGATGTAACTGAAATACTGCCTTAAAGTGGTCTTAAACCATAAGGGGCGGTCGGGTAGCCTAGTGGTTAAAGCGTTCGCTCGTCACGCCGAAGACCCGGGTTCGAATCCCGACATGGGTACAATGTGTGAAGCCCATTTCTGATTTCCCCCGCCGTGATATTGCTGGAATATTGCTAAAAGCTAACTCACTCACTCACTCACTTAAACCATAATCACTTACACCAATGATGAAATGACGTTCACGCCTGGATGAAGGAATGCGTGTAAATATATGTCTCAACCTCAGTCGTGACGACATGGACTGGTCACGTTGATATTCTGTTATATAAATGCGTTTATATTCAGGTCAGGGAGG